ACACAAGTAGATCACCACCGTCTCCACGGTAGAACATACACAAGTAGATCACCCCCGTCTCCACGGTAGAACAGACACAAGTAGATCACCACCGTCTCCACGGTAGAACACACACAAGTAGATCTAGTTAGTGGGGGGAAATCTTGTCTCGCTTTTCAACCCCCCCCCCCCTCCCCGTACACAATTACCAAAGTCAAAAAGCCACCTCACTTTTTATACTACTCATTAAATCCACTACTTATTAAATCCACTACTCATTAAATCCACTACTCATTAAATCCACTACTCATTAAATCCACTACTCATTAAATCCACCCCCAGTCACTTTAAACATCGATCCTTGAGCTTTTTTAAAAAAAATGTTATTTGATTGTCGTGACACAGCAGAGTTCGACAGTGAACTTTAGTCACATAAACTCAACACTGTAGTCACAAGGTGTCATATATATTCGGGGTGTTAAGACTGTCTTTCTGGTACCACATCCTGCAAAGATGGTTGCTTAAATTAATGACATTTCTATATTAGATTGTGCAGCAGCATGATTGGAGAACGAACTTTCAGACAAAGATGATGTGCTGAATGATTCGGAAGATTCTGTGGTGGAAGATTATGTGCTGGAATCCTCAAAGTGTTAGTGTGAAGGAACTCTTCCCGGTAGTGAACCACGTCCTCAACCATGGAGTCCAGAGACTCACCAATCTCACCACCCTGATCCAATAGAGAATCATTGCTGCTTGCTGCCGTATTGGTCATGTGTGTAAAAATAGCTCACTCCTTTAAGCCGTATCAAATCTGAGATTATCTTTTTCACACACTGTCTTTAGATTTTCGTCAGCCTCACAGAGATTACCCAGAGTGTATACCACGTCATTATCTTGGTTTAAATTCCCAAATCCTCTAGGAGATGGATGTTTGATAACTCCTCTGCCCACAGATCGCTTGTAAAATCGTTATTAGTGGAGTCGCAGGGCGTGGTCTTGGAATTTAGGTCATAGGCGGGATGACTTTGTGACTGGCTGTGACCTCATTAGCACGCGTTCCCGAAGAAAGGCGCGCAGCATCTGCCTGAAGTCACCCAACAGCAGCACAATGATCCCACAGACAAGGTAGCACAATGTTCCCACAGACAAGGTAGCACAATGATCCCACAGACACGGTAGCACAATGATCCAACAGACACGGTAGCAAAATGATCCCACAGACAAGGTAGCACAATGATCCAACAGGCAGGGTACCACAATGATCCCACAGACAAGGTAGCACAATGATCCCACAGGCAGGGTAGCACAATGTTCCCACAGACAAGGTAGCACAAT